ATTTAGGGGATTTTTTGGGGGGGTTTAACACAGTGGCGGGTCATTTTGACCCGAAGACAACAGGAGGGTTAAATGAAGCCAAACCGTCAGTAAGTATTCCATCCACTTGTTGGAAGGATCAAACATTCTTTTTTTTAAGCTTACATCTACGGTCACAAACGAAGTTTGGTGTGTGTTTTGTCTTTTTTTTTAACAACCCAATCTTTCTGTGGTCTCAATTTACACACCTTGAGGACCAGGTATGCATGACTTTTTTTTTTTTTTTTTGGAAAACAAGGGAAACAATGGCAATCACTTKCCACTCCGGAACACTTCTACTGCCCGAATACAAATTTCCACAAGAGTTCTTAGTCAAGTAGTTGAAAAACTCACTCTCTGAACTCCCACATCAGGCTTTGTGTTGTCATTCAAAGATCAAACGAAATAGAGAGTCTCCAGCTGGAATGCACTTTTCTACTGTGTGATGTTCGATAACAATAATGTCAAAGATAACAGTTGTTTTATAAGATGTCTATGAGAAACATTGTTGAACTGTATGTAAATTCATGTCCAGTGTAAATACCACTAAATATTATTGCTAAAAGAGACTATACAGAAAATAATATGAATTTAAAAAAGTTTTAAAACAGAGCTTAGGCGTCCAAACGGAGCACTGTTGGGACTATCTGTATGTATTGTAGTTTTAGAATTGGATCAACTGACCCGGACTAAAAGCAGCACCGTGTATTCAACATCATTATGTTTGGTTTGTCATGTGGTAGCGCTTGTCCTCAAACGGACAAGCTGAGAAGTTAATTATAWATGTGGCCTCTGGCAGAAGCTTGTTGTGCAAAACAGTGTTTGTAGTTACAAGGAACCTGTTGGCAGGTCTGTCCCAGAGAACAATTAATCTCACACACATCCTGTGGAGTGAGCGGAGGAAATCCTTTCCCAGGAACTATTTTTTTTTTTAATTTAATAAACTGTGAATTAAAGCAAGTGGTTTTTCTTTATCCTTTATTCATTTCGAGCCGTGCAACCCAAATACGAAATTAATATTGCATGCTGCTTTACTGAAGGAAACTCTCAAAGATTCCTTATTAATAGCCCAACATTCCAAGATAATTTAGGCAGAGGATGAAAAAAATGTTTCACAACCTGGTTTTAAATGTGAAGGGCCTTGCGCAAACAACTCTGCTTTACCAGTTTACCTTGCCCAAAAGGGGATACAAGCTTCAGCGGTGTGGYGCACCGTGGTCTTATTGTCAAGGTTTCTAGCAGATAACACTGAATTAACCAATCAGGAGGCCAGGCTGCTCATTGCAATGAAAGACACCAACTGTACACCTTACTACCCTTTACCTGAGCCACATACCTGTGTTTACAGTGTCACTGTGCAGACTGGACGGTGTTAGGACCAATGATATTGCACAAGAACTGGGAAACACTAGAGGCAGGGGTGGGGTGCAGCATCTCTGGGGAAATTTAACTGATGATTAATTTTGGCTGTTAACAAAACTTTAACACCCTAAAGCTACCTAAAACCTTTTTTTTACTTTTCAGGTTTTCAGACTATTATGATTATGAAAGCACAAAATATTTAATGCTTAAACTATAAATTCTTTGGTACACTTTAGACTTTACACTTTAGGTGTTTTTTACTTTTTTTTTTTTTTTTTTTTTTTTTTTTTTTTTTTTTTTTTTTTTTGCTGTGAAAGTCAGAAACATTCCCTAATGTGGGCTATTCAACTGATGGCCCACGGGCCAGAAGTGGCTTGCGTTTGACCTCTGTCCGGCCTGCCAATGAGAATTTTTTTTAATTTAGTTTTTTTTTAAATATAGATTTAAAATCAACAATAAATTTTAAATTTAGGGTTTAATGCGACAAAATAAAAAGGTGAAAGATAAGAATACACGTTCCCCTACCTTTACCTAGGATGACCAGCCCCTGAGCTGTTGGCTTTGAGTAACTGYGGCCCGTGCAATTTAGTTGAATAGCTCTGCTTTAAAAGAAGATCAACAGAGACTGAATCTCTGGATTCTGTCAAAATGATTTGTAATATTAGCGTTTTGTTTCAAAGGGGGAAAAACATCACTCTGTTTCTTTTTTCACATGATGAGTAAGAAGGTAACTCTTCAAACTGTGCAGGTAGCAAACAAACCACTCATGGGTATTTTACACAACTCAAACCCTACATGCCAACATTTTTGACCAAGATGTTAAACAATTCCTTAGTGCTTGGAGCATGTGTGGGGATGACTCTCGTCTTGTTGGAGTTTGACTCAGCCTGATTTCCATATTTTCTCCACCTGATCTCTTTTAAAATACTGTATGTAGCTACAATCTGTGGTGTAGTTAAACCTCTTTAAGTGTTAGATCGCCTTGATGGACTTTGCAGTAAGATTTCTTTGATGTTGGATATAAATTGACAAAGATTGTGGTAAAAATGCCCATTGCAAAAAGCTACAATTTAACTAAATTATATATATTTTTTAAATTATACTTTTGCTTGATAATTCTGCAAAGTAAATACTTAAAAATAAATTCTGTTCCTTTTGATTTCACTGGTAAATCACAAACAACTACCCAATGTACTTTTTTTTCTGTGCACAAGTAATRGAAAATCGCCAGTATTTCCAGTATGAAATGTGCCAAGTTTAGTTGCCTCACATACAAAAATAATAATACTAATAATAATAATAATAACTAAACAAACAAAAATAACTACACCACAAATTCATGGGTAGCCATCACAAAACCATACCAATAGGTGACCTTTGTCTCCTTTCTAATTACACGCTTTATTCCACAGTGTTGATTGGCTCCAGGTGTCTCATCTGAGCTGATTCACAGCTTTGCTCCGGCTGATTGGTCAAAATCACAGTGATGATTCTCTTGATTTGTCTTATTTCAGAGTTTTGGAGAGCTGCACTGACTGAACCACTCGACAGACCTGATTATTGCACCCCCTGAGCCTGCTAAATTGGTTCAATCAAAACCGTAATTAGTTGAATCAGTTGTTTTGAATAGAATAAAGGGCTGCAGAACCTGCAGCGCTCCAGAACACCCCCCCCGCGCACACACACACACACACACACACACACACACACACACACACACACACA